CTATTAGATAATCTCTGTCTTTTACGCAGTCAAAGACAACCTTAATTGGTCTTCTTTTGTCAGTCTCTCTTTTCCCTATTCTAAAGTAAGTTTTGATATTACGGTTTTCAGCCTTAAATCCAATCTTTGAAAATATCTCTATAGTATTCTTATAATCATCTTTCTTTCTATTATTGGGATCAGTACTGTTGAGACTCAACTACCTCATAAAGTACTACATTATATTTTCTTCTCTCCCTATCCTCATACTCTTTGAGCCTAGAATCAATCCGTTTATCTATTTCTTTACTAAGCTTGTCTATATTATGATCTTTCATTATTCTATCAATATCATCTCTGTTTCTTTTAACATCTGCTTCCATTTGCATTTGTTTTGTATGTATACTAGCTAGTGTACCCAGCACTGTACTAGCTGCCATGTTACAACCTTTGCAGTACCAGCGGACATTAGCTACGCTACCATGTGTATTGATTAAATTATATGTGGCCTCGCTAATTTCTTGACATTCCTTATGAAACCACATGTTGCAGAGGTTACACATTAAACCTGAGTCTTCCACTATCTTTTTTTTTTTTTTTCGTTGAGAATATTTGTAAAAGTCATACACTTTTGGCTGAGAAAAAACTGGTACATAAAATTGGGCATAAAGTAGGTATGGGCTTATGCCCAACAAACTACAGTAATAGTACTGATAATGACGATGATAATGACGCACACCATCGCGTCAGCGTTTAACTCACACAGACAGACAACAAATCGCGTCGGGCTGCGTCGTACAACGCTGTCTGAGTTGGCCTTAAGTGTATCTTGGTTTCTTATGTACTGTGATCATAAGATTAGGAACTAGATACTTTGCTTAAAAGAAAGGGCTTTGTTCAGAGGAACATGTTGGGAAGAGAGAATGTAATAGCTATGTTATACTGCTGGACAACCTTAAAATAGGCCTAACGATTCTTTGCAACAGAATATTTATGTAAGATGAGAACTCTTGCCATATATAATGTTGTAATAGTTCAGGTATAGCAGGGTTGATGAGCAGTAAAAAAAGTATGAAGATACTTTTTGGATGAAATATGATAATAATAATTCAAACATTTTCCTTTTCATTTTTTTCGTTTGGATACTTGTATTTCAGTCTGTTATCCAGATACAAAAAAATTAGGAAATTTGGCTTACACCAAGAAAAATGGTTTTATATTAATAGATAATATTACAAAAAGCTAAAGAAACAATATTAATACTGTAGTTTCTCTGGTATAAGCCCATCCTCCTTGAACACAAAATTTGGCCAATTTTTGGGGATGGGCAAATACCTGGGAAATACCTTTTTAATCAAATGGCAATATTTTGGTGCTGCATGCCTAATTCAAAGTCAATATTTGATGTTTTTTGTTGAGAATATTTGTAAAAGTCATACACTTTTGGCTGAGAAAAAGCTGGTACATAAAATTGGGCATAAAGTAGGTATGGGCTTATTCCCAACAAACTACAGTAATAGTATTGATAATGACGATGATAATGATTGCTGTTACTATTAGTCATATCAGAGACAAGAACAATAACATTAATAATGATAAAATGGTTTTTAGTACCTATCTCTGTCATTTACGTTGTCATCTTCCTCTTCATCTTCATTCTCTGGAGCAATGATTTCTTCTGCAGTTTCTGCATCTTCATCTCCTTCACCAGTCTCTTTCTCTTTTGATGCTTTTCTACCGTTCTCTGACAATCCCTTTAAAAACAAGTATTGATATATCATGACTACAGTATTGTATTTCTTCTTCATTTATAATAGTCATTTTATTTTTCTTTCTTCTCCATCAGCCTCTTTCTCTTTCAATGTTTCTTTTTTTTTCCATTCTGTGACAATCCCTTTAAAAATGTCTTGATAAACCATGACTATTACAGTTTTGTGTATACATTTACCATACTCCATAAAATATTTATTTAAATGCACTTTTTATTCCAATTAAATAGAAATTTATTTTTATGGGTTTGCTCCAAAAAACTATAAAAAAAAAAAAGATGTGTAGATTGGATTTGCATAATCCATGGGAATTTTGATAATCCATGGGATTGGATAACCCATGGAAATCTGAAGGCTCATTTTCTCCAGGGAGATACATCAAGTGTTAAAATGGGAAGTACACTGAAAGGCAATTTATCCTCTACTTAGAGAGCATACTGTGCTGTTTAACATGCACATGGGCCATATTATACATGGTAACAACTGTTGCAACTTTTCTTTCAAAAGAAGGTTCTAGTTGTAATTTGCATTTCAGTCCTTCAACTGAAACAAAAGGAGAGCAATGACAGGTTAAACCAAGTAAAAAAAAATGAATTTAAAATATGGAATTTCTTATAAGTTGTGTTTGTACAATAGCTACAGTAGTTTTTATTTACATATTTGTTATGGATATTTGTATCTGAAATAAAGAAATCAATGAATGAATACTGATAGTTTTTAATAATGCACATATATACTATGAAATATTCATCAGGAAAGTAACTTGAAAAACAGGTAAAAAATAAATAATTAAAATACATTTTGATGCTAATTTGCTAATTATATGTCAATTTATGTATACAATATAAGGGTGATACATAATATTGTAATAATAGTTTAATCTTATTTATAATTTAGTTTATCATATTATAGCAAAAATATATTTTATAAAATATTTATCAGAAAAGCAACTTAAAAGACAGATAAGGAGTGCATAATTGAATAATACATTTTTATTGATTCACAAATTGATTCTTGAGTCATTTATCTCGGCTGACATAGGAAGCGCCATTAAGAGGGCTATAATTCTGCTAACCCATGCATTGCTAATATTTGCCACACTCTCCTCCATGCGCCATATAAATCCTCAGGGAGGACAGACTAGAGGTTCTTTGAATCTTATGGGTTCAAGTAATTGATAAGAAAGTAGAAAAATAAGTGATAAATGTTGAGCATAACTTACAGATGACGACTTAATCAGAATTATAGAATCAATTTAAAATTTCCTAAAATATACTTTTCTATTTCACTCTTATCGGAAAATTACTTGGCATCCTCAGAATGGAAAGCACCTCAATATGAGGCTTAGTGGATATTCTTAAGTACAATATTTATGATGCTGTTATTAGAAACAGAGTTACCTACTACCAAAAAACCCTTTTTTAAGCGAAGCGAATTGTTCAAATAATTCACGGAGGAGTTAATAAAATAATCATAGCATGACAATTACCTACAGCCCTGTTATAAAATTTTATCATATATTATTTATGGTCTTGGTGTTTATAATTCTGATACCACCCATAACTATTAATATTAATAGTCATTTAATCACTTTCATGCAATTAGCAGTCATTTTCTATACACTATAGAAAAATTAGTGCACAAAAGAGATTAATGCACTAGTGCAAGTTTCTGGTATTAGAAACTAAGTCCCCTGACAACCACATACCAACAACTACATATAGCAATATACTCCTATCTTGTCATTTATGCTTCTATTTGCAGATTACTATTAAAGCTTGCATAACTATCCCTGACACAATCGGAAAAGCTCCATGATTTCACAACCATAAATAGCATGTAACAATTTTATGTAAACAAAGCTTTAATACTCCGTGCCCTCTCCTACATATGCCACTGGTGTAAAAAATGAATTTAAAAAAATTAATAAATATAAATTATATGCAAGGCTCATAGAGGGATAAGAGATCCACTGCCCTCAATAATCTCAATAACAAATATCAGATACTTCACCTGTAGCACACGGAACATGCTTCATTACACTGTCTACTAAAACAGACAAGAAACTCTAAGACTACCTTCTAAGGGAAATTAATTTTAAGAGCATTCAGTTGTACAGGTTAATTTCATCCACAGTGTACAAAGGTTGGTCAGTCACACTTAATAGTCATCTTTTAAAAAAGGAAGATCTTCCTTATAAAAGCTAATCAATTACAATCTTAACTAAATATATATAACTCTTTATTTACATTATTTTGCATGTTATATACTTACCGTAGTTTGTTATTATACCAAAGGCAGATTACTTATGATTTTACCATAATCATTGCTATAATTAGCCTCATTAATGAATAAACGTGTTGCTCCAATAGTGCATTCTCCCATCATCTCAAGCTACTTAACAGAGCTTGGAGTTTCTGCCACATACGTCGATCCGTTAACCGGATCACATCATTATGGGAATAGATCAGATGGCTTCTAAAACTTAATGACATATTGTACGATTGCTACTAACTTTGTGTTTAAAAATACTTTTAATAAACACCCATCTTGAATGTTAATAATTGTGTCTTAACTATCCCTTTGGAACCAATCAATTGTGTTCTGAAGCAAAAAAACCAAAAGTGAAATATCAAATTTGATGACATATTGTAGGATTGTTACTAACTTTGTGTTTAAAAATACATTTAATAAACACCCATTTTGAATGTTAATAATTGTGTCTAAATTATCCCTTTGGAACCAATCAATCGTGTTCTGAAGCAAAAAAATTAAAGGTGAAATCAGCAACATTAACAGGAACAGCTACAGCAATAATAATAAAAATAAAGGTGATTATGATGATATCAATGATATTACATGGATTCATACATACCATAACCTTAAGCAATCATTATTAATTTATTATGTGGGCTACTGGATGCCCAAGCAAGCATGCACAAAATGCAGCATAGTATGTGGCAGTGCATTTAGTGCACAGAGATCAATATATTTAAAATTTCCAATACATATCAGGCTTTTCTTTATATGTATCCTGGTTTTACGGCCTGCTGTTACTATCGTAATTGATGAGATGCAGCCACTATTTATTTTATTTATTTATAAGCCTTTAAATACTTGCACGGAGGACTGAAATATAGAGTGGCATTAACCACTTTACAGCCCATCAACTGTGCAAGCTGGGGTATCTAAGCATGGCCAGCTGAGAATGGTCAGTGTGTGTTCCAACTACCGACCACGAGGCATAGAATCTGAATGGAAATCGCTGCAGCAAAACCTTCTCTAGATGAGGCTCCATTTTGGGTTTTATTTTTATAATACTGAAATAAACAAATGTATATTTAAAAAAATAAAAAAAAAACATATTAGAACATTCTTATATCAGAAACATATTCTAATACTTCTGGGTGTAGAAAGACAATGCCTTGTCTAATGACACTTCAACCAGTACATTCAACCTAACACACAACTTACCACAGGACCTAATGTTCCAAGTAATCAAAGCAAATTAAACATGGCATTATATTTACTTGAGGCAATTAACAAACATTTAAACATGGTTTTAAATAAGCAGGTAAAGGTTAGAAATTTAGTGAAAGAGATAAAATGAATCGGGAGTGAATGGTAACAAAAAGCAAAAAAAAAACACAAAGAAGAAGATGCTATAATTATTTTTACAACCAAAAATAACTGCAAACAAATATGACATGAAAAGCATTAGTTACATTCTGCCTGTTTTTCCTCTTCCTTCGTTTGCCCTGTGCATCTTTCGCCTCATCATCGTCCTCCGGAAGTAAATCTTTAGCACCAGATAATTTTGCCAGTTGTTTACTAGTTTCAGTTAAATCCTGAGGAAGGGAGAGCAATAGACAAACTGACAGGGAATCATGTTACAGTAACATAAGAGGAGGGGGGAATGTGAGGGAGGGGAGTGAAATGTTATGAGACATAGCAGGGAAATAACATTAAAACAATTTTTAAAATATTGATTTATTAATCTGATATAAAAATAAATCAATACACAAGTATTATATATTCAATAAATTACAAATATTACCTGTACAAAAAAATAGATTCAAAAGATAGTACATTTTCAAAAGAAACTACATGGAAATAGTTAAACAATCACCAGCCTTTAACAAATAAACAATTATATTGAATCAAAGTTTTCAGTTTTATGTATTTTTACTTGATAGACATTCTTAGAGTAACTGTTCCATGCTAACCCGAAAAGATCAGCTGATATTCAGGAGGTTAGGGAAATGCAGTTATTACTTAGTTGAGGGGAAAAAAATGGGATTGGAGATGTTAACGTAATGATGATAAAGGTGTTTGTAAGATATCCAATTTTCAACAATGACTGATAGATTCAAGTCTAATTAAGGTCCTTTCACTTTCAAGTCTAAATAAGGTCCCTTAACTTTCAAGTCTAATTAACATCACTTCATTAGATACTCACAATAGATTCTTAGTTGTGATTACCTTATGGAACATTAGTTACAAATAATTTTTTTTCCTCTTAGTTTTTTGTAAATTAAGTTCTCTATCATATTATTCAAATCTAATTACTGTATTTAATTTAGTTAAGATTTTTGTTTCATATTTTTGGATTCATCGCTCGAAAACAAGCAATAGCCACTGGTTCTAAAACGATTCCTAATATTGAAATATTGACATCCCAATAGCCATTGGAGCAGTTTCCCTGATAGGGAAATACTATTCATGCACGTATACACTAACATAGGCACCCTCATTAAGAAGCAGGAGATATTTTCTCATTACCATCTTCTTCCTTTTGTTGGTGAATAACCTCTTTGCAGAGTATATTCACATAATGGTTCTTGGTGCCTTCTGAATGTGTCGCAGTCAGACTTAATTAGGATAAATCCTAACTAGCAACATTTTTTCCATTAATGAACTATTGACTAACAACAAATGTACCAAATTTAACCAGGTCAACTTCAGTCTCCTGAAGAAGTTCATCGTGGAATGAAAGCTCAAGTATTTGTGCAGTGTAAAGTGCTATCCTTTTTTATCATTACATATATCAAATAATGAATCTTTCTTATCCATATAATTGGGACAGTAGAATATATTCTCATAATTTTGAGGGTGAAAGATTTTTCATCTGATGATATTCTGGGATTGTCATGTCTGAAATCCCAATGTTGTCTGAAATCGCCATGTTGTCTGAAATCGCCATGTTGTCTGGGATCGTTATCCTGGGATCGCAATGTTGTCTGGGATCACCATGTTGTCTAGGGTCACCATGTCATCCGAGTCCGTCATGTTGTCTGAGATTACCATGTTTGGGATCGTCATATTGACTGAAATCGCCATTTTGTCTGGGACCGTCATGTTGTCTAGGACCGTCATGTTGTCTGGGACTGTCATGTTGTCTTTAATCGCCATGTTGTCTATGATTGTCATGTTGTCTGTTATCAGTATATTGTCTGGGACCATCATGTTGTCTGGAACTGCCATGTTGTCTGGGATCTTCATGTTGTCTGTGATCGTCATGTTATCTGTTATCGTCATGTAGTCTGGGACCGCCATGTTGTCTGTTATCGTCATATATTGTCTGTTATCGCCATGTTGTCTGGCAACGTCATGTTGTCTGTGATTTTCATGTTGTCTAGAATCATCATGGTGTTGTCTGGGATCGACATGTCTGAGATTGTCAATGTTGTCTTGGGGTCGTCATGTTGTCTGGGGTCATCATGTTGTCTGGAATCGTCATGTTGTTTGGAGTCATCATTTTGTCTGGGGTCGTCATTGTGCAAATCTAAACAGAACACTGTATTACAGTACTCTCTTGCTGGGTGTACGCCATAATTAACCATACAGCCCTAGATTACTCGTCACCTCAGAACTAGTAGTAACTTAATACCAAATAACTCTCTAGGATTTATTGACTAAAATCAAATTCAAAGGTGAGGTAATCTCAGCGGTACTCAAAATACTTTTAAAAACAAGGGTACACATATCATATAATAAAAAAATAATTAAAGATATTGATTTTTAATATCTATACTGTAGAATCAATATTTTATTGATTTTCATGTCTAATACACTACACAGAGACACCTGCATTTACTTGTAACAATTCCCTGCAACCGATCAGTGGTCAAAAATATATATGGCCATTGTTGTTCACAAAGAACAGCTTCAACAAGTAAAATTTATATCAGGTAGACCAGTCGGGCAAACTGTAGCCCGAAAGTAAATTTTTTGCAGTCTGCGAAATTTGAATTAAAAACTTTATGTGTGTGGTCCGCCAAACATCTTTGGCTATAACACCTTATTTCTTAAGGCCCCCACACCGAATCATCTGTAAAAAGTAATATTAAAACTGAGAATAAAGTAGTATAAAACCAGTGCATGTATGTTTTTGGAAGCACAGTGGAAACAACAAAGTGTGGGTGTGGCCCTTGGTGTTAAAAAATACACTTTAGTCCTCTAACCAATTTTTATGCCCATCCCTGAAGTAGACATGCTGTTCATCACTATCCAGTGATACACCTTCATCCACAATGGAAAACATCTTAATTTACCTCTCAAGCTGTAGTTACTAGATATAAGAATCTATTTCCTCAATCTTTGAGTCAGAGAAAGGTTCTTTTTCATGTAACCAGTGGTTAACAAACATTGAAACATCTATGATTCCTTCTTTAAGTATTGACTTATTTTTAACTGTTTCCTTGGCTATTTACTCACCCACATGTGACATAAAAACAATGCTCACTCACGCTATTATAGCATTTGACAGGAACACACAAGCCGACTTTTCTTTAAAGATACCGCAGACAATACAATAACAGAGTGGTGTCCCGCAAAACAAGTTGGTTAGCGGCGTATTTAAACATGATTAACTAGACAACTTATACCGTTTCATCCTCCTAACTTAGTATAATGTACATTGTTTTGCCTCAATAAATTAATGCCTTAAATTATTCTGAACTTTACTCTAAAAAGCTTTACATGCTGTATTCAATTATATCACAGGATTCATTCGGCCCTAAGGCAGCCATTTAAGTAGCCTAGGTACAGAATTAACAACAGTTTAAATTTCCATACTGCAGACAAAATTAGAAGGTGTATATTATTTTTATGGAACTTCAACATTACACTATTAAAGCTAAAACAATATTTTAAAATCGATGATTTTAATCAATAAAAATTAGTAGTTTAAGCCTGTTTTTAACAAAAAGCCATTGGCAATTTTCATTATTACTTCTATTTCAAGCTAATAATAAAAGAATTTTGTGATAAATGTATGTGTAGTCATCATGAATAATTGGAGGTAATACACTCTCATGCCATCTAAACACAGATGAAGAACAATGAACTGAATCAGGCAGATGACTTCCAAGATTAAGAACACATGCACTGAATTAATATAGAAT